AACTTATGTCTTTACTAATATTAGGGTTTAGTTAATTATCTTTATAGTATTAGTGGTTACTTCTGTTACCTGTATTCCAACTTACCCAAATTCAAGATTCTGCTGCACTTTTATACCATACGCACGATCAATATTTTGTATAATTTTCTTACATCAACACTATATAGTAATTTACAGAATATCTAATATGTCAACGTAATAATACTGTTTTGACATTGCTTGCTAAAGTTTGATGCAAAAAAAAATTATTAGTTACTAGAGATAAGTACTATTAAGCTTCTGATTAATTTTTGTTTCATCCTATTTTATCCTGTATTATATTATATGACTCTTTATTTGGTAATTACCCATATCTGTTTGTTTTTTTTGTTTATAGCAATTATTAATTAAAATTTTATGCATAAGGTTAAATTTGGTAAAGCAAAGGTGAAACGGCTAATAGCATTCTAAATCCAGAAATTATTTTACTTAACTGTCTTGAGAATCTAAGCCATGTTCTAAAAAGTCGAATGCAAACTCAAAGCCAATCTGGTCAATGCTAGGAGTATAATTATATTCCTAAAAAGTCGAATATAGACTCAAAGCCAACCTGGTCAATGCTAAAATTTTAATTATGCTCCTAAAAAGTCAAATGCAAACTCAAAGCCAACCTATCAATGCTAGAAGCATAATTATTCTAAAAAAGTTAAATGCAAACTCAAAGCCAACCTGGTTAATGCTAGGAGCATCATTATGCAACAGCCTAGTTTGGTTATAATTATGTGTTAAGCTATCCTGCAAGTCGAACATAGCTTCAAGTAAAATAGATCTATGCGAAAAGTATAATAAAGATTGTATAATTATTAGGGAGTTAGAAATGGTGTTATTTCTGCAGAAAAGAAAGTGATAAAAAAAAAATATTCAAAGGTTTAATGAAAGCATTTATTGTGTAAATTAGAAATTTAAAGATAATTAAAAAATATAAATACATCTAAGATTTGTCTTATACTTCAGCTTCTGTGATACTTATTAATAAAAAGACTTCTAATTTCAAATTTCATATCCTATTATGGTGTTTCATTGAACTTAGCTATATAAAATTTTTAATTAGTTTTTTTTGCTT